TTTGAATTAATTTGATTGTTGGTAGAATCTTCTATATGTTTATTGTTGTAATTATTATTTTTATCGATATTTGTATTATTATTAATCATAGTTGTGGGTTAGGTAATGAGTGAAATTATTGTGAGGAGGAACCGGATGGTTTTTGCACCTGGGCCATAATTTCGAGCATTTAGGCATTAACGATCTGTAATTGCTTTTGTTGTTCAGCGATAACAGAGGCTTGTTCTTTGATAATTGCTTGTGTTTTAAGGTCGATGGGAACAGGTGACTTATTAAGGTCTTCATCCGAAGAGGAATTGGCAATATGAACTCTTTTTTGGGGTAGAGGTAGACACAGATTGCTGTGCAATAGGCCCATTATTCGGGATGCTTGATGGTGAAGTGAAAGGTGAGGTATAGATAGTTGATTGAACCTTTTCTAGTTTAGCAATGCGAGTTTCAAGATCAGACATAGCCTTTTGCATGCCCGTGAGCATACTGAGGATTTTGTTTAGCTTATCATTAGTCGTGTTGTTATTATTATTAGGATTGTGAATAGAGTTGTCAAGCGAAGAACCTGCATAGCCTTTGTCTTTGGTTTTGCCTTTATCTGTTGCAGGTTTAGTTCTTTCTTTGGGAAGGAATGATTGGTTATTGTTGGATTGGCGGTCGTTATGTCTTGTGATCAAGGATCTAGATCCTGCTGGCTTGAAATAATTGTATAGTTTTTGAACAGAGGGAAGCTTATAAACTGGAGTTTTAGGTTGATCGACAGGATCATCATTTACTGGTGGAACGATTTGGAGACATTTTATGACAATGTGTTCTGAAGAATCACATTTATGGTAACATCTCGCGTCAGCTGAGCACCATTGGAGTTCATTGTCGCTGAACGCAAAAGATTATTTAATAGCATTGTTAAGGTCTGCTTCTGTTTCGAAGTAAAAAACTGCGAAGGGTCGAGGTTTATAATTGTTTGAACGAGGGATGTAGAGGGCTTTAGCTTTGGTAGCTAAAGTGATGTCTTGCAGATCTCTAGCGGAGGTGTTGAAGGGCAAATTGGTAAGTCTCATTCTGAAATAATTACGTTGTTTGATTTGTTCTGAGTAAGGCAGGCTAGGTATACTCGGACACAGTCGTTGTAGATAAAACGTGACCATTTAGTATAGAAGAGATCGACACTCTTAGGATCTTTATAAGTGATGTAAGCTTGTTGCCAAAGATCTCTGGTGAACATTTGTATGGTAACTATCTTGCCGTATTTAGCAAATATGTTGGTGAGCTGTTCCTTTTTGAGGTTAAGGTGAATATCGGTAATGCGAAATGTGCGTTAAGGGAATTGCATATTTTCTTTGTAAGTCGCATACTGCAGTTTAGTGTTTTTCCATATATGAAATTTCTAAATATATAAATGATCGACATTCTAGAAGTTTATTGGAATCGACGGTAATACAAAATTTATTTGTGCTACAAAACTAAATTAAAATTAATAAAATTCATAATCTGTTATTTTATATCGTATTTTCTGCTTCATCGCTATTAGTCAGATTGATAAGATTCCGAACTTGTTATAGAATTACTAAAAGCTCATCTTTTTTTTCGATTTTAATTCTTGGAATTGTGATCGATTAGTCTCATTTAAGGATCCAACCAATGATTCAATTATAAATATCAACTCTTCTTTTTTCATTAAACCTTCTGTTGACTGTAACTGTGCTTTATTGAAAGTAACAGGAATAGGACGAATAAAGCTTGATGGTTTTGTTAAGGTCAGCTTTTCTTTATATAATTAATATGTCGAGTTCGAGCTGTAATGCTAAATAGTTTCATTTCTTCACTCAATTTATTATCTTCGCCTAAACTCTCAAAATGATGATTATTTTTATGTAAATTTAAGAAACCGGTTTTTCTTAATTAAACGCAAAAACGTTGTGATTCAATTACATAATCTGAATGCATTCGTGGACCTATACTTTCAGAATCTGAATGTCCGATTAAAGCAAATAATGCTTTTTGTAACTGATCGATGCCAAAGGAAAAGGTTATTTTTATCTGCAAAAGAAAAGTTAATAATATAATTAATCAACAATGATACTTTTATTTCTTGCCTCCATAAACTTTGTACAATTCATTGCAGCCATCTCCCAATGTTTTTGAGCCAGTATAGGTGGTATGAGTGTCTTTAGCATTTTGTTCACCTCCTCAAGTATGGCATCTAATCTCTGATGCTGGTTTGACCATCCTGATCGTGATACAACCACATTCTGTTCGATAAGTTAGCGAATCTCTGGATAAAGACATATTAGTTGTTCCTCATCGGCCACCTCAATTGCTTGATAAATAGAATGTCGCCTGGAAGACCAGATAGGAGCAAATATTCTACGTGCGGCAGATTTAAGTAAAGATTGATTGGTTCTAACTTCAGTACGATAGTTTATTATAGCTTGTAGATACCAAAAAATCTAGAAAATTGACTTAAGTATTATATACAAAATTTTAAGAATTTCAATAATTGATATACCTGTTCATATTTTAACTTATATAATTCATCGGTTTGGTTTTTAGCACAACTGAGAAATCCACTAACGGATGGATTAGGAACTGAAACAACATAAGGCCAGACTAATACCATTGCCATTGCATGCCGATAAATATGGCATATTGAATCTCATGCTTTATGATGATCAGCACATTTCTTAAAATAATCTAGTTGATTCTCAGTTCTATATCCTTAACATTGTACAAAATATTTTAGATCAATGGCCCTAAATTTCATATATAAATAATAGATCATGAATTAGCTTTATTGAAATTGGCTTTAGGATAATTAATGATAATACCAATTCAACTTTACAAAGGCTTTTAACATGTTCATTTCCTCGTGAAGTGGACCAGGTACTAAGAGTATTCCCGGATAGTCCTTTTTAAATTTTTGTGCATAATGGTAAGATACTCTATCACAAACTACTACAATCCATTTCCGATCGCTATTATTAATTCCACTAATTTCTTGAATATGATCTAGGACTTTGCGAACATTAGTGATAGAATTTGAATTTACTGGTAAAGGATCTGGAACATAAATATCAGGTATATTAACATCTTTCTGGAATATTGATCTTTGGGTTATACTAATTGAATTTGTATGCTTGTCAGAGATATCTGTTTCAAACTTGTGAGATCTAAAATAAAAGATTTGGTAGAATCTTCTTTCTCAGGAGTTATTTGTTCAGTTTCTTGTTGTGTTTTGACAAGTGTAAAAAGTTTTGCATTACATTGAGGGCATTTATGCTTAGAATTTTCAATTTCATTCTTACCACATTCATGACAATGCTTTTGTTTACCTATATTA